GCTGTTGAGATAACAATGTTTGAGCTGGCTGAAATTGAGGCCAAGAGGAGCATGCCCTTTACCATCCTTCTTTCAGTCTTCTGGAAACTACCTACATATCCCCTGACTCAGCCTTTCTGTCTGCACTGCCCTCTCCTCTTTGTTCTGGAACTGTTCTCCCAGGGCTGTGCATTGCCTCTGGGGTCCAGTCTGCTTGTTGGCCTGGGGGTATATTCTGGTTAGTAAACATTTGGTGCAGTGGGGTGTGAGGAATTTTCCTTGGGTTTCTTACCTAGACTGCTACTCCACGCCCCTCCTTTGAGGATAATTGCAGTATCAAGTTGGCAATGCAGCAGTCGTATTATCCTCGTTGGTTTAACACAGTGAAGATTGTTCCCCATTTTCTCGTTATAACTAATAATCAGGTTCTTCAGTTGATCTGTCAAAATTTTCCCTCTGATTCCAGCCTGTGTGATGGGGAGAGATGTGGAGTTATAAGCAAACAAGCGCCGTGCGTCTTGAAATGCTGTCAAGGGTAATAAAGTAAATCGGGATGAAGCCACTCTTCGGCTGTCTCCGCCTGCCTTTCCCTTTATCTGTCAAGCCTTTGACAGCAGTTCCTCTGCCTCCTGGAGCACTTCTGGAGTGGGGAGTCCCCATTAGAGGGGGGGGTGGGGAGAGAGGAGAGATGAGCGTCATGCCTCAAGTGCAGTGAAATGATTCCATCACTCCAGATTGGAAGTTGGGAGTGAGAAGGGGACTTTTCCTCTTTCCCAAGAAGGTGTGGTTCTAAGTCTCATCTGTTCCTAGTGGCAGTTCACAGGTGTGGGCAGGAGAGAGAGGTCAAGGGGGGTGGCGGGTGGGAAGTGCTCAGGCTACATGCAGGAAACCCAGGTTCCACCCCTGGCACCTGAGCTCAGAGCCGGGAATTGGGCATCCCTGAGTGTAACCCAGAACAGCAAAAGAGAAGAAAAGAAAGGTCATGAGTCAAGGGTCAGTGGGCCACAAGATAAAAGCAAAGTAGCTTTCAAGTCTGTAGAACTTCGGGGAAGGACAGACTCTGGAGAAAGCAATGGTAGATGCCTGAGGTCGTTTGGATCCAAACTCAAACCTTTCCAGTCCAGGAGCCCGTGTTGACTGTGGGGCCAGCTGGATGCATTCTGACTTTGAAGCCTAGGGGCAGTGTGAATTTATTTTCCCCCAAGTGCTCCCTGAGCTACTGAAATAGCAAGTAAGGGGGACAGCGCTGAATTATGTCCGGACATGGCTGGTGAAAATGGATTCTTAAAATAAATCTAAGTGTTTTCGTGTGATAGGTGCCTTCAAAATGTTGAGAGCTGGGAACTGGAGAGGGAGGAGAAACCCCTGATAATTAATGAGTTTTGCTGGATGGGTCCTGATTAATGAGCTGGAGTTAAGGAGTGATTTAGTTCCTTCCCCACCCCCACCCTCCACTCCCGCCTTCCTCATCTCAATCAATAAGATTTGACATCAAGGATTTGCTGAGAGTCCACATTACTTAAGTCTCAAGTGTAGTCATTTTGCCAAGGATTTCCACTCTCTCTTTTTTTTAAATGTGTATATTCAGCCCAACCTGGCAATCACTTAAGTCTCACATGCCCCCTGAGACTCCTTCAGAGGCACACCTGGGCTGGCAGGATCAGTGTGACACAGTGTCACTCCTGATCGGATGGTGAAGCTGGCAGGTTCTCCACAATCCTGCTTCTCAGGGTATCATCAGAAAAGCCAGAGAAGTTCAGGGCCTTGGAGCCGAGCCTGTGAGGTGGGCAGGTAGCCTGATTCCAAAGAGGCGGCAGTATGAGGCAGGTCCAGTTGCTAAGCATGGTTGTGGCGGTCACTTCGGAGCTCCTGGTGTGTGTACAGATGACCTCATTTAGACGCTAGTTCCCAGATGGGCCAGTCTTGTCTGCAGAAAGCAGGTAATTCGGTAAACATTTGCGACTTTGCACTCAGGAGTTGTTCCTTATTGATATGGGAGTAGGGAGAATGCAAGCTTGGCAGCACATGGGTGTGGCTCTGTCCCATAGAACTTGGTTTCACAAAAGCAGAGGGTCCACTGGGAGAGCCCTGGGGTCTTGGTTGCTGGCCCCTGCCTTCTAATTTGTGTGGTATAACACCCTGTTTCTGCAGCATGGTTCTGGTGTTCCGGAAGGTCAGTAGGCACTGAGAGAGAGAGAGCACAGGGTGACCGGTTCTCCGGGGGCATGGTGAGGTGTGGGAGGACAGCCTAGGATTGCAGTGAGAAGTCGTTCCAGTTTCACTGGGGAGTGGGACGGCAGGGATGATTTTCAAGCAGGGCTCTGGGGAGATAAAGTTGGCAGATGAACGTTGCAAAGAGAGCTCCAGTGGAACAGCCCCAGCTAGAGAGACTGGCTTCTTTGATAGCGCCACTGCTGGTGCTGGGACGTGAAGTATGTCATTGCTAAGCCAGATGTCTTCCATGCCTCACCATGCTCCACACTGTATGTCTGTGCCCTGTCCTTACTGATGAAAATCTGCTTCACTTTGGCTTCTGCTGCATTGTGCAAATATCTCACAGGCTTTATTTATTGTTTATTTATGTATTGGTTTGGGGGCTAAACTTGGCTCAGTGCTCCAGCTACTCCTGGCTCAGTGCTCAGGACTGACCCCTGCAGGTACTCAGGAAATCACCTGCAAAGCAAGTGCCTTACCTGCTGTACTACCTTCCAGGCTCCAAGGAACAAGGTTTTCTACCTCTCCACACATCCAGTCCCTCTGCAGCCAAATAGTCCCCAAAATGTATAGTATCTATCTAGTAGAATGGGGGTTCAATGAGTCAAAATATGTAAAGAGTTTACATGAGTGTCTGGTGTGTGTGTGTGTGTGTGTGTGTGTGTTTGTGTTTTACTTTATTATGCTCCTGATCTGCATCATTTTCCCCATCTATATCATTTCCTTCATGAAATAACTTATAAGCAGATGGCATTGATTCCATTTTATGTGGTTAGAAAATAGAGGTTAAGGGACTGGGTGCAGGAGGCTCAATTCAATTTCCCTATCACTGCCAGGAACGCCCCCAGAGCATCATTCTCTAGGGCCAAAGAACAAGACTCAGTTAGCGAACCTAGATGGGGTTGTGACCCACAGTTTAGGAAGCCTGGTTCTTTTATCCTGTGATTTTCTATCTCTGGTAAGGTGGCAGTCACAGGGAAGGAAGCCAATGTGTTTCAGAATGAGATCCCTTGCTCTGAGATGTGATGGAGGGTCACACTGTGGCTGCCTTCACTGCAGTGTAAAACTAATTCTTTCAGGTGGGTGGGAGGGGAATAGTGATTGGTTATTCTTTTCAGGGGGAGAGGAAGGAGTGGACCACAGCCAAAGATACTGAGGTACTCTGGGATCTGTGCTTTGGGGGCTGCTCCCAGCAGTACTAGGGAGCTGCGGGGGTGGGGAGAGGGTGACGACCAGGCATTGCCTGGGTTCCTGTGGGCTTGGCTGCATGCAGGACAAGCACTAAACCCCTGTGCTATTTTTCCAACCTCTGTTCTCAGCTCTTGATCAAGTCTACAGTGCAGCTCTTCCTCACTCCTTCTTGGCATGAGGCCTCCATCCTAGAAGGACTTTGCAGGTTTAGCCCCCTGCCCGCAGGCAGTGCCTCACTGTGGGAGGTTAACCAGGTTCCGTGTTCAGAAACGCAGGAGGAGGTTATGAGTTGGGGTGAGGGTCAGACTTCTGCCACCCTGTGATGCGGTGCCATGGAGGGGCTGTACTCTTGGCCCGTATTTCACCATCACCTTTCTCCTGATGGGAGCGTCACGCTATTCAGCATGTACACCTGTCACCGCTGAGACAGGTCTCCACAGAGGTAGGCTCCTTTGCTTCAGAACCAGTCATTTGTACCATGCTTTAAACAGTCACGAAAAGGCGGACTGTGCCAAGACACCATGCGTGAAACAGCGCTCAGCATGGGTAGAAGATTGCAAATGGGTTGTTTGGTGGAGACCAGTGGAAGGGACACTTTCACCCGAGTGGCCTTCTGCTTCCTGGAAGGAAATGCTCATCTATCCTGGTGATTGTGGTGGGGAGGAAGGAGCAGAGATCTCGTCCCAGTGTGCCTCTTCTATCCATTGGCGACCCAGCCAGTCTTCTGGGGGTGCAGTGCACCCTGCTATTGTGTTTAAGTTTGTCTGAATTTGGAGCTGGTGAGCTAATACAGTGGAGGAGGGAGGATGTGTGTGTGTGAGGGGGTAGACGGGGACACGAGTCTTGCACACAGTCAATCACGGTGGGATTCCCCAGCCTGTCATATTATCCCCTGATCCTCACAGGAGTCATCCCTAAGTGCAGAGCCAGAAGTAAGCCCTGAGCACCGCCAGGTGTAGCCCAAAAAAAGTGTTGGAATTTGCTGAGGTTCTTATTGTTACTGTTCACAGACTCCCAGCAGTGAAAAAGCTGTCAGGCTCTTAAAAACTGTTTAAATCGGAGATGATGGCAAAGCTGTCAGTCACTCTACTCACAGGCGTCGTTGCAGTGCTCTGTTTTCATCCTCCTTGGCTCCTCTGCAAGCGACCCAGGCTCCTCTGTGAATTCAGCCAACTCAATAGCCCTCCTTACCCCTGCCATGGGCCATTAAAACATGCCTGTTGACTGGTAACCCCTCCATACGTTTTCTCCATTAAGATCCATAGATGGGAAGGGGAGGGGTGGCAGTGGCAGAGGGGCCTTCCGGGGGAACTGCTCTGGCGTTTTCAAGCCTCAGCCTCTCAAAGCTGTCTGCCCCAGACTGTTTAGTTCCGTGTCCCCTGTCCCATTCAGGCCTCTGCACGTTTGGAAGCTTTCTTTAGCTTTTCCCTGAGCCCTCCCGACCCATCTCTCAATAGGAGGGAGCCAGGCTCAGGGGAACTGAATGCCCTGCCACACAATGCCCTGCATGCTAATGGCCCTGCCAGGCCTCTGCCGCCGGCAGCCCCAGCAGCTGCGTCAGATGCAGAGATGGGGTCCCAGCAGCTCCCTAAAGTTGCCTGTTTGCTCTCTCGCAGATCTACACGGACTGGGCCAATCATTATCTCGCCAAGTCGGGTCACAAACGTCTCATCAAGGATCTCCAGCAAGATGTGACAGATGGCGTCCTCCTGGCCCAGATCATCCAAGTTGTGGGTAAGAAATGCTGATTGTACCTTGGGGGCACGGAGACCCAGAAGGGGCTGCCACTCGGCCAAGGAGAGGGTGGTCCGGAGGTCTCCATGGAGAAAGCAGCGTTTCTGCGTTTGTACATGTTGACGATTGGCTGGACTCGGTTTTGTCCTTGGCAGTGTGGCGCCAACTCTGCTTTTTCTGATAGGACCCACCCACCTGCAACCTGGAGCCCAAAGGAAAGAAAGCCTGGGCCAAGGTTCCGGGAGGGCCCCCCGCCCTTTGCTTCCTATTAGCTCTGTGACACTCTAATCCTTCTCCCTTCCTGTCCCTCAGTACTATTTTGGTGGATTGCTTTGAAAATATTTCAGGGGGTGGCGGGAAAAGGGAAAAGAAAGAAAAGAAAAGAAAAGAAAAAACAAGCCACATGGGGCTGGCTGAATCTTGCCAACTCCAACTGGGACTGAGAAATGGGAGGATTTGTTTCCACGTTGGCAGAGATGGGCTTTACTACGGAAGAAGCAGGGGGTTGGCAGTGCTCTGGGGCCACGTGCGAGAGGAAGAGATATATTGAGGCAACACGGGCGCAGCCTGGGTACCACTTGGCTCCGGGTCCTGAGGAAATGGCGCGACTTTGCCCAGGAGCTCTGCAGTCAGAGGGAGATCAGCATGAAGCCACGGGCAAGGGGAAGGTGCAGCAGGAGGTCAGAGCCCTCCCGCCTGTGTGGGTGTGGAATAGATGCTTCTCCTTCCAGTGTGAGAACTTGTCTCCTCGGCACTCAGCTGACATCTGTCCTCAGAGCTCAGCTGAAAATAGAACCAAGTTGACTGCCACTGGCACTTCTGTTTGGCCACCACCACCACTCAGAGAAAGCACTCCCTTCTGGTTTCCTAATTCCTCTCCCTGCCCCGCCCCCCCTCCTCTCCTCCTTGGATATTTTTTTTTCTTTGTAGCAATTGCCCCAAACTTTGAAGCATTAGAAAACATGAGGGTGGGTCTGGGGAGATGGTACAGCAGGTTGTCGCTTGCCTTGCATGTGACTGACTTGGGATTTGATCCCTGGCTGTCTGGGGTGGGGCAAGGAGGGCTAGGAGAAGTGCCAGAGAGGAAACTTGTCTTTTTTAACAATGAGAAGGAATTTACTAGCCAAGAACAAAACCTACACAGGGTTTTCCTGCTTCTCCTAGCTCCTGCAGACAGCCAGGGAGGGACCCCTTTCTATTAAATCCAGGCTGTTGCATTGGATCTCGGTCATTTCCAGATCTGGGTTTGAATTGTCTTGCTTTCTGGGCTTGTAGTGTTTAGCATAATGCCTAAAATGCAGTGATATTCAAGAAAAACTAAGAGGATTTGAGATAAAAATTTTATTCTTAGATAAAGATAATATAAGCCGTTGAGCACTCTCAACATTGAGATAGCTGAGTGCATGCTTTGTTTGTAGGGGTTCAGGTTCGATCCTCAGCACTGCTTGGTCCCCTGAGCACCACCAGGAGCGACTCTGAGCAAGGAACAGAGAGTAGCCTCTGAATCTGAGCACCCCTCAGTGTATTCCCCAAACAAAACAACTTTATTCAGTGCAGTCCTTGGGTTAGACTTTTCCCAGCAGGTGATCTGGATGAAGCCCCTTCTTGTCATTGGTTTTCTCTGGACTGTTCCTCTAAACTGTAGGCTGTACCTTTTTTTTTTCTTTTTGGGTCACACCCGGTGATGCACAGGGGAAACTCCTGGCTCTGCACTCAGGAATTACTCCTGGCGGTGCTCACGGGACCATATGGGATGCTGGGAATTGAACCCAGTTCAGCCGCGTGCAAGGCAAATGCCCTACCCACTGTGCTGTCACTCCAGCCTCTATTGTGTACCCTTCTGCTTTCTAGATTCTGCTTCAGTTTTCCACTGAGGTTTGTGGGGAATCTTTCAAAACCCCAATGTGAGACACAAATTGCTTCCGTGTAAAGCAGTCAACAGATGATTCAGTCCTACTGTAGTGGAGTCTGTTCTGCATCCTGGGTAGCTAGTTCTGTTGATGGAGAGTTGCGATCTCTTCAAAGTGCTTCCTGCAGCCTGGGGAGGTGACTCATCACCGAGTACATGCTCTACATGCAGGGGGCCAGAGTTCAACCCCCATCAGCACCCACAGTCCCCATTCACTACTGGGAACAACCTCCTAGCGCCATCCGGAGACACCCCTGAGTACTGCAGGTTATGGCTGTAGCTCAGTACCATGAAAGGCATAGCCTAAGAAACTTGCAGAATAAAAATAGCTAAAGAGACATAACCTGTGCACAGATTAGAAGATCCTATATCAGGAAATAACATCTAAAATATGGGGTTTTTTGGGCTTACACTTAGTGGTGCTCAGGAATTATTCATAGCTTGATGCTCAGGGGGTCACTCCGGTGTTGCCCACAGGACTATATGTGGTGCCAGGGATAGAACCAGGGTCATGCGAATCAAGCACCATCCCCGCTGTAATCGTTCTCTCTCTAGCCTAGAATAAAACCTAAGGGCAATTTTAGTTAATTAACACTATGGGAATATTAGAATTATAGCTCTGTCTTATTTTCTGAATTTAATCATTGTAACATCAGATGCTGTCATTGTTCTCTGGGCGTATGTAATTCAGTGGCAGAGGACAGGATTTATGTAGCCAACACAAAAATGATTCGGAAAACATATTGTGCCTCTGCATAGAAAGAGGGGAGAGGGATGTAAGGCGAGGCAGGGGACAGGAGATAAGGAGAATGCATGAAGTTTGTGAGTTTTTGTAGAATTCCTGTCATTTTTTTCTGTAAGTTTGAAGTGACTTTCAAAAGTAAACACATAGATACTGGGCTAGCAAAGTCTTTTTAAGGGATTCCCCTACACCATAGACCTAGAAGGACATTAGAGGTGGCCATGGTCAGTCCATGGCCGGGGGAGGTCACAGGAGTGGAAGCATTGGAGAGCAGCCATTGGGAAGGCACCATGAGTGAGAATCCGTGAGCCAGAGGGAGAGTTCTCATCAGAGAGAAGGATCCCAGAGGAATTTACCTATAAACCAAGACCTTAGATTTGGGGTTAGCTAAGTGAAATGGTCACAACAGCATCCCTGGGCAATAAAATAGTGTATCCCAAGGAAAGGCTGGAGGGTACAGAGACCCTGAGGGTCAGTGAGGCAAGATAAGGCAGGATGGCAGGAAGGCAGGTGTAGAGGTGCAGAGGTCCACTGTCGCTTGAAGCAGGCCAGTGGTGTGCAGAGTTGATGATCAGGCTAGAAAGTGACATGATTAGAAGTGTAACTTGAAGAAGAACCCACAATGCCTTTCCTGGGCACTGCTCCTAACTCTTCATCTCTCTCACATGGATCTGGGGATGGATCTATTTTACCTGTTCTCTAACTGGCATCCCCAGAAACAAGGATTATTGAGGGTCTTATTTCCCATCTCGCCTCTTCATCTTTTCCCCCCTTGCCCCATCTTGGGCAGGAGATGGCCCCGTGGCTGGTGCCCTTCCATGCTCCACCTTACCCTTAGTGTCTGAGGGGTAGGTCTCTGCTTTCAAACCTCTTATTAGTGTGATTATCTTCTTGAGTTATCAGCTGCCCCAAACCATTCTCCTGCCAGCCCATCACAGTGCCATCCTCGTGAGTTATTGCAAAGGTTTCCGAGGCCAGGATAAGTAGCATGAATCAAGAGGGAGCGACAGGCCTCCCCCTGCCACCCCTTAGCTGTTTATATTGCTGTCATTCAGAGATGAGGACAGAAGGGATTCGAGTGAGGAAAAGGGAGAAGGTGGGAACCGGGAACACACAAGAATATTGGAGAAGAAGCAAAACACACAAGACTTGCAGTTGGAGGTGAAGAGGAAGCCGAGAGCTTCCTTTTCACCCCCATTTTGGCAGCCTCTAAGCACCACTAGGATTTCAGGCACCACACGAGACTATGTTTTCTTCCTGCTGATGACCTATGACCATTCTGTGGCCACAGGTAAGTCTTTCTGGAAGTTGTTCTCTCTTCCCTTGGGCCTGTGCATGTGTGAAGGTGTCTGAGCTGTTGAAATTCTCTGCACCCTTCCATAGAGGACTCTGAGCAGTAATGGGCTTAAAGCCACGCTTCTGAAATGAAAAGTGCACCGGTGCTTTCCGATTACTAACCTGTCACCTTGTGTGCGGGCAGATCATAGCATTAGTGGACTAAGAATAGCTTGAATTTACTGGCATAAATAAATTACCATTGCCACTTAGGGATGCCAGCTTTAATCACATTCGAGGACTTTGGAGATGAATGCGTTTGCTTCTTTGATTATCTGCTTTGGGACTGTAACTAAAGACACCTCTCATGCATGCACCCCAAGCTAATAAATGCAGCTCTGAAGGCCAAACTATTCCTTAGCAGCAGAATCTGAGCTGCTCCTGCTGCCTTAAGGATTCTAATAGTACATAATTTTTTGATAATTTAATAGAAGTTTTCAGATTTCATGTATTTGGAAATCAGGAGGTTGTAAGATATGGTTTGCCTTTTTATTAAATAAATACTGATTTTGAGTTTGAACTTGTTCATTTACCTTCACTCCTTTATTATTTACAGTAGTATAAAATGATTCCACTTCAATGGTTTGCTTTGAATGTTGTAAAATAGCAACATTTATCTTAATACGAGCTAAGATCATTCAAAGAGCATCTGACTGAGCTCCAGGTGACAGACCATGAAATTAGAGGAGTGATTAGACCAAGACCTCTGGTTTCACTTATTCAGGTGGCATCCAAAGCATCTTTAAATGATTTCTTAGGATCACTGTTATCCATTCCTCACTTTAATGAGCACTAATGATCTAATGCGGAGCTGGGTATTGATCAGCATCCAATGACTTATGACTTTGGTCATCATGAGCATCCAATTGGAATATACCTTGAGTAGCCTTGAGTCTCAAAAGACACATATTTATTCTCCAGTGTTGAGTATCAGAATCCAAGGTCAGAGTGCATGCCAGCCATAATTTCCCACATAAGAAGGATGCCATTTGTCAGGATCTTTTTCTTCCCTCTTCTGATGTGCATCTATATATATATACAAGGGAAGAACAGCTGTGACAGAAAGTGTGCAAAACCTTGATTCCTTGAAATGTTCAGAATACTTAGTGTTTAACTCCACTCAGCAGCTGGTGGGACCTCTGGCAATGACTTTAGGTCTGGGTTTATAGTAGAAAGCAAAGCAAAGACAAAGCCTTGTCCTAATGAAGTGTATATGCAAGTGAGAGAGTCTAATTGTATTTGTGGATGAACTAAAAAATGAACATCCATGAGGCATTCCATTCATCGGGCACATTTGTTTGCATTTTTTGTGTGTAATTGTTTTTTCCCCCAAGAACATAAATTTTATTTTTATTATTTTTATGTATTTATTTTTATTGTGTCACTGTGAGGTATAGTTACAAAGTTGTTCATGATTGGGTTCATGTTCCAGCATTGTATGAAGGATCCTGTCCCTTCACCAATGTATATTTTCAATATTGTATGAATTTTACATTTCTAGTGTACATTTCCAACATTGTATATTGTATGAATTGGGTTTCAGTCATACAATGTTCCAACATTGATGAAGGGTCTGTTCATTAACCAGGGTACATTTCCTATCACCAATGTCCCCCAGTTTCCCTTCCGTCCCCCCTGCCAGCCTGCCTCTATGGTAGGTACTTCTCTCTCGTTCTCTCTCTTTCTTTCTCTCTCTCTATCTCTCTCATCCACCCACCCATTTGGCATGATGGTTTGCAATGTAGATACTGAAAGGTACTTTCAGCACTCGTTTCTTGTCCAGAGTGATCATTCCCAACTATCTTTGTTGTAGTGATCCCTTTTCTATCCTAACTGCCCTATGCCCCGACCACTTGAGACAAGCTACCAACCATGGATCAGTTCTGGTATTAGTTTTATATTGTGTTGGGGTTTTATTTTAATATCCCACAAATGAGTGTAATCACGTCCTTCTCTCTCTGTCTGACTCATTTCACTAAGCATGATACTCTCCAAGTCCATCCATTTATAAGTGAATTTCGTGACTTTGTTTTTCCTGGTAGCTGCATAGTATTCCATAATGTAATGTACCATAGTTTCTTTATCCAATTATTTGTTGTGTGTGCTTCTCAACCACTCTTTGGGGAGGAGAGGAAGCAGGTGGAAAAGCTTCCCAAAATACCAGTCCCAGTGTGAAAGTTACAAAAACTCCACTGCATTTCAGAAGATTAAGATTTTGCTGGTAAGGGCTGGAGCAATATCACAGTGAGCAGAGTGTTTGCCTTGCCTGTGGCCAACCCGGGTTTGATTCCCAGCATCCCATATGGTCCTCCCAGGACCACCATGAGTACTTCCCGAGTTCAGAGCCAGGAGTAACCCCTGTGCAGCATTGCTGGATGTGACTCAGAAAGGGGAAAAAAAGGCAATGCAGGGGCTGGAGCGATAGCAGAGTGGGTAGGGCATTTGCCTTGCACGCAGCCAACCCGGGTTCGATTTCCAGCATCCCATATGGTCTCCCTGAGCACCACCAGGATTAATTTTTTTTTAATTTTTATTTTTATTAGTGAAACACCACGAGGTACAGTTGTAGACTTACAAATTTTTGTGCTTGGGTTTCGATTATACAATGATCAAATACCCATCCGTCCACCAGTGCCCATTTTCCACCACCATGGATCCCAGTATCCCTCCCACCCCCACCCCCACCCCATCCCACCCTGCCTCTGTGGCAGAGCATTCCCTTTTGTTTTCTCTCTCCTTTTGGGTGTTGTGGTCTGCAAAAGAGGCATTGAGTGGCAATCATGTTCGGTCCATAGTCTACTTTCAACATGCATCTCCCATCCTGGGAGGATCCTCCAAACACTCTTTATTTGGTGCTCCCTTCTCTATCTGGGCTGCCCTTTCCCCTAGAATGCCTGGCTGACCTCTAAGCCATGGAGTAATCCTCCTGGTACTGATCTTGGCTATTCTTGAATATTAATCCCCTATTTTGTTACTTTATGTCCCCCAGATGAATGCAATCTTTCTGTGTCTATCCCGTTCTTTCTGACTCATTTTGCTTAGCATGATACTTCAGGAATAATTCTTGAGTGCATGAGCTAGGAGTAACACCTGTGTGTTATTGGGTGTGACCCAAAAAGAAAAAAAAAAGATCTCACTGGTGCATCTTAAGCCTAAATTTCTATTACTTTCAACAATTTCTGAAGGAGGTGTAGATGAGGCTGGATTTACACAACTGGGCTGTTTTACAGTATCAGAGTTTGAAAGCAATTTCCTGCCATAGCTTAATTTTTTATTTTTCACTTCTTCATTAATGTAGAAACATTAGAGAAAAAACAAAAAAAAATTGCTATAAGGTTCAAGTGTCCCAGAATCTTAGAGCCTTGGAACATTTTTATTCTGTTAGCTTTTTCAGGTTGTTCTTAATGTCCTTTCTCATAAGTAAGTCTTAGTTAGGTATATTCATTCAAATCTAAAAGGGTTTTCTATTGGGTTTTTTTTAGTCTATTCCCTGCCCCCCCTTTTTTGCCTTTGGATCATACCTGGCAGTGTATGGTCTTACTCAGGGGTCTTACTCCTGGCTCTGTGCTTAGGGATCACTCCTGAAAGGGCTTGGGGAATCATATGTGGAGCCAGGGATTGAACCGTTTTGGCCACATGGAAGGCAAGTACTCTACCCACTGTACTATCTCTCTGGCTCGGGTATAGATATTCTATTTGATTTTGTCTGCATTTAGTTGATCTCTCAGGGTACAAATGTGAAAAAATTGAAAAGGATGTGTCTGCCATGGCTCTCACAGTGAAGCCAGGGACAGCAAGAAAAGGAGTTAGACATTAGCAGTTAAGAGCGAGAGAGAGAGGTATAGGGTGCTGAGCAAACAAAGAAACCTTATCTTTCTATGCTGGTAGGGACATGGGATTTGCTAGAAGGCTTAACTAGGGCTTCACAGTGGGTGCAAATTCTTCACCCCCCACTATGGAGTCCTGAGTTTCTGGGCTTAACTCACATGGGAATATGAAAAACATAGGAGCCAGAGAAATAGTACAGCAGACAGGGTGCTTTTCTTGCACGTGACAGACCTGGGTTCTATCCCTGGTACCCGTGTGGTCCCTGCAGTCCCTCTAGGAGTGATCCTTGAGCACAAAGCCAGGAATAAACCCTGAGCACTGTCAAGTGTGGCTCAAAACAAACAGAATGAGGAAAGTAAAAAAGGAAATTTTGTGTGTATATTTTAATAAGTGATAATACATTAGGTTAACAGTAACTACCATCTACAAAAGACTGTGCTAAGCATTTTATTGGCTCAGAGACTTTCAGTATCACAGCTCCTTCTGTGTAGGAGAGAGTCTTAGCTTTATTTTGTAGATGGGAAAAACTTTGATCCAGAAAGGTTGAGTGACATGGCCAAGATCACACAGCCAAGAAGTTGTTAAGCAGGGATTCAAACTGGCATTTCTTTGCCTCCAAAGCTAGTGTCTCAGCCGCTACACATCCTGCCTTTCTCAAGTTGCTGCAGTTGCAAACTGCCCCTTGAGATATTTTGGGCTGTTTCAAAGGGAATTCTACATACTTCCTGGCAGAATTGCATTCCACATGGGAAGGTGGGCCTCTTTCCTTCCGTATTAACACTATTTCGCTAGATACAATTTTGTAGGGGTTTTGTTTGTTTTGTTTTGAGTCAGGCCTGATTGTTCTCAGGGCTTACTAGTGACTCTGCATTCAGGATCACTCCTGGTGGTACTCAAGGCATCATTTGGGTTGCTGGGGATTGAACCAGAGATGGCTGCATAGAGGCAAGCTGCATAGCACTTTATCCCCTGCACCATCTCTCTGGCTTGCTAGATGCTATTTTGACATCATGTATAGGCTTCAGATGGAATTTGAATTTCCTATAAGACCTCCAAGTCATTTTAGAGTCTTTCTTCTTTTCTCTGTTTGCGAGCCCCTCAGAAATAGGATTAGGACAGATAAACGCACTATTTATTTTTCTTGCTAAAGATAGGCTAAGATGCTATTGTCTACCTTTTAGCCTTAGAGTTAAGCCATGGCTGTAGCTTCATGGGAAGGTGGCAGTCATCTTTGTCAGTGGCCAGCACACGGCCTCAGCATAGGCTGTTTTCCGGCCTCCATGCAGTTCCACGATGTCCCTTCCTTCTAAGACTGCCATCAGTACAGTTGTCTCTGCTCTAGATGATGACTGCACGACCTTGCCCCAGCTGTCCCTGGAGGACGCAGCCGATGAGTAAGTCCTGAAGCTTGCTAGATGTGGCACAGGATTTCACATGCCTGCTTTGATTGGACAGAGCCTAGTAGGGGCCTTAGGACGTGGTTGACCTCAGGGGTCTTTAACATCACAACTCAAGTGTCTGTGGTGGTTATTTATGTTTCTGACTGGTGTTTCCTTTTGCAGCAAATGAAAAGATAGAAGACATCAATGGCTGTCCAAAGAACAGATCGCAAATGGTGAGTGGTCCGTGGTGGGGAGGATTTGTATTCTGTCCTGCCTCTGAACAGTATCAGCTCTCATGAAAACAGTCACACCAGAAGCTTTGCTCTGGAGGGTTATCTTAATAAGCTCAATAGCCTTTTCCAAATAGCCTTGGTTTGCTGCTTTGACATTTGTGTTGGCATTTCCTAAAGCATGGCTGTGATTTTAACATAGATGGCGAGGGAGCAAAAAAAAGAAGAAAAAAAATAAAAAGAAAGAAAGAAAGAAATTGGGTTCTTACTCCTGGAAACAAATTATGCAGAACTGGCGTAAATATGGACTTGTTTAGAACTTGGACTGTTAGTACTCCCACACAGTCGTCTGGCTTCCTCACAGACTTAAGACCATTGCTGTTTGTGTTTGGGGCCAAGGCAAGGAGGAGGGATCCGTATCTTACTGCTCAGAAATTGGGACATGTGGTCTGTGACTGCCTCTCAAGGTTAGTTGGTATGAGATCAGAACTTTGACAGGAAGTGTGAAATGTACATCCTACCCGGACCATGATTAGCATAACCTTGACAAGTCATTTTCTTTCCATGTAATGTGCATCTATGAGAGCTGCTAAAAAAAAAAAATTCAGTCTGTTCTCAAATGTCCTTCCTGTAATCTTTGAGTTAAAATTCATATCACTTTGATTTAGAAAACATTGGAATGTGATGCTCTGAGTGCTTAGCTGCTTTGCTTTCTTTCTCTCAGGCTTTAGAGAGGCTGGGGGTGGAGGAAAATATAGCTCAATGATAGAGCATAGATTTCTGCATATAAGACTTGGCACCCCATCCCCCCAAAATACAAAATGCTTTCAAATGTGGAATGCTTTTACAAAAATGTTTCCTATCTAGCCTGTTAAGATGACACAAATAGTTGTGTAAAATATGAAGGTGTCAACTCTTTGCTGGATATTAATTTGTTTCTAGAAAGCTAAAAAAAATGGCTTTTTTTTAACATCATGCCATACAATCTTTGAGTGAGTACAATTTGAGAGCTTCACTTGGGGTATTAATTGTTACCCAAATGAGTTAGACTTGTCGTTAACTACTTTCCATGCACAAACTTTTTTATTCGTGTGTGTGTGTGTGTGTAAGAGATTTTTTTTTCACTTTTTTCACTTTACATCCTGAAATTGCTCCTTTTTCTGTTGTCCTGCTGGAGATTTTGTTTCTGGTTTGATCAGAGAAACTATTCCTGACATAGGAAAGTCCCCAGGCAGACAGCTCATGGCTGCTCTGACTTTTGGAAAAGCTCAACTGCTATTTTTTGCTGGGGTCACTGCAGCTGTCTAGTGTATTAATAATTGAGAAAACTTGGAAGATAGGAGACTTAATTTTAGTACAAACATTTTAGACATGGCAATCAGAACTTCACATGAAAGCACTGCGGTATTTCCCCTGGTAGAAATATCAACTCATTTACCCCAGCCCACTGTAATGCATCCATAGAACTGACATTTGAAGGTGTATGTGTTTTCAACTTCTGATGAAGGTGATGTTTGTTGTTAAAATCTACATTCCGGTTTATGCTCATATCACTGCAGATTCTTCTGTGCAGATTTTGCTCTGTATGCAAATACATTATTTATAAATACTCCCATAGTACCAATATAGTTTTGTGGTTTCTCCAGAAGTCTTTCAGCTGTGAAAGTTTGGTTTTTTTCATGAACTCTGTGTGTGTGTGTTTGTGTATGTTTGTGTGTGTTTTAAAACCACAGGAATATAAAATCCTATAATTATATGTGATAATTAGTTCCAGATTAGGAGCAGGGAGGCAGACATGGTCTGGTGGTAAAGTGGAGCAGAGAATAGTCCAGCATACAGGATATGCGTCCAGGAAAAAGTAAAATTCTCCATTGCAGTCATTCTGTTTGGTAGAAAATGAGGAAGCTGAGGATAAAGACAACAAGGCTATTACCCTTTACCCTGCTTTGCAAAACTAAAACATCCATGAGGCTGAGCCCGTCAAAAGCAGAGGAGGCACTACATAGAGACAAACCTGAGTATTGTTCTGGCTAGCAGGACACCTGTGTGTGTGTGTGTATGTGTGTGTATGTGTTTATGTTTATGTGTGCATGTATGTGTGTGTATATGTATGTGTGTTTATGTGTACGTGTAGGGGTATGTGTGTGTTTATGTGTGCGTGTAGGGGTGTGTGTTTATGTGTGCATATGTGTGTATATGTGTGTGTTTATGTGTGCGTGTAGGGGTGTGTGTGTGTGTGTGTGTGTGTGTGTGTGTGTGTGTGTGAGCATATAGGGATAAAGATACCCTACCTGGCAAAGCATAATTTGGAATGGTGGATGAACCACCACTTCTAGATTCCTGGAATATTACTTCTCAGTTAGGCCTTATTTAAAGTGGCCAGTGATCGTGATCGAAAGTTGTTGTTTGCTGAGTAGTTCCTATTTGGAGGAGACCGGAAGGGAAGACCTATGAAGAGAGAGCCTTGTACTGACTGAAGGAAAAATGATGACAGTCTAAGATGATCACTTGGCGCCTGTCAGGAGGAGGACTCTGGCTCTCAGGAAATCATCAGCAGATTTAGTACTCAGTCCATCAGGATAGAACCTGTACAGGGCCTGTAAAACTGGCTGAGAAAAGTGGTTTAGTTCAATCAGGAGTGGTGGTGATTCAGGTGTTCGAGAGGATGAATTTGTTCCATCCATCCTGGGTAGGTAGGGCTTTGACTTCAGGACAAGCTGTGGAAAAAAAAAAAGGCACTTCCTCCACCACTCCTTCCCCTCCCCTCCTCCTGCCTCACCAGGCTGCCTGGGCAGCACCGTTTCTCACTCTCCCTCTGGCACTGCAGGCCCTGCTCCCGGATCTGTGCTCTCCCTCAAGGACAGGGAGCTGATAGCAAACGCCTGTGCTGTGTGGGAGTCTTGTGCACAGATGGGCTTTGGCATGGTGGGCGTGGCATGGCATGCTTTTAGTCTGTTCATCAGCAAAGGCATTCAGCGTGCCTGCTAGTGCCAGGCATGATGCTTAAGCCAGATCACACAGGTGAACATATGTGCCCCGCACCCTCCGGGAACTCAAGAATGAGTGGACAGGAACTTCAGAACAACCCGAACGACAGACTCCAGTCTGCCCCAGACATCTGCCATAGGCATGTGGAGGGGATCCTCTCTGGGGTTAGGGGACATCTAAGAGTCACTTTTTTTTCTTTTTGGGTCATGCCCGGTGATGTACAGGGGTTACACCTGGTTCATATACTCAGGAGTTACTCCTGGTGGTGCTCAGGGGACTATATGGGATGCTGGGAATCGAACCTGGATCAGCCCCATGCAAGGCAAACACCCTACCCACTATGCTATTGCTCCAACCCCTAAGAGTCACTTTTAAGGGGTGAAACTCAAAAGGCCAGAAAGTTCATCCACTGAGGACTGGCAGGGGAAGGTAGAGTCCCATTTCTGGAAACCCAGTTTACCTGCAGAGGATACTTTGCGACATGGCTGTGGACCTCTGAGAAACACTTCTGATCGTTCAGCACCTCCAGCCATTTTCCTTCCTGTGTCTGAGGTGGGACTGGAGCACAGAGGATCTCAGAGCTCCACAGACTCCCACTACACAGTGCTCATTGCCAGATTTAAGGACAAGTTCTCATGCCTCAGCACTTCCCAGCATCTCAGGGATTCGCCCCCACTGGGCCACAGTGCAACGTTTCTCGAAGGAAATTCCCTCTGAAAATTATCAGTTGCTGTGGTTGGATATTCAGCTCTGGATTCTGGAAAATTCCATGGAATACCAAATGTCAGGAAGGTTGCTTAGTCTTCTCTATCAACACTTGAAGCATCCACAGGTGCTTTCAGGCCTGGCTTCTTAAACTATGTGGGGTCACATTACTTTGTTTGTGTGTATGAGTTTTTGGGTCACACCTAGGGCAATGCTCAGGGGTTACTCCTGGCTCTGCACTCAGGAATTATTTCTGGCCATGCTCAGGGGACCATATGAGATGCCAGGGATCGAACCCTGGTCATCTGCATGCAAGGCAAATGCCCTACCCACTGTACTATCACTCTGGCCCCTAACTATCACTTTGTGGGACCTGAGCAGTGGGTAGGGTACTTGTCTTCCAGATGGCTGGCCTGGGTTTGATCCCCAGCACCACATACGGCCTGCTGGTCCTGTCAGGAGTGATCCCTGAGTACAGAGCCAAGAGTAAGCCCTAAGCACAGCCATGTGTGGCCCCAAAACAAAACAACAAAAAAATTATTTTTAAAATGATCACTTTCTGGTTCCTTATCATTTGTTTGCTTTTGAACACTGTTTTATATACCTATATACTTGAGTTGTATGAAAGTGTCTCAGGCAAGGCCTGGAGAGATAGGTCAGAGGTTAAACGCTTGCCTTACTCAAGGCTCACCCAGGTTTGATCCCTAGTACTGCATCCGATTACCTCCAGGAGTGGTCCCCGAGCACAGAGCCAGGATGCACCCCTAGAAGTGGCGCCCAAACAAAATACAAAAAAAAAAAAAAAAAGAAATTCCTAGTGCAAGTGGGGAAAATTCAAGAAGCTCTGCTTTAGCACCTTGATGACAGCACACACCCATGGCTCACATTCGGATGGGACTTAATCAACACAAATCATGGTGCCAGAGTCAGTATGTTAAGGTATAAAGTACTTTGATGCACATGGTACAATCCACACTTCCTGCGCTGGGCAGCAGAACACAACCCCAGTGGGCTTTGAGCCCTGATGTCAATGTTGGTGTCGGTGCCGATGGTGGCATAGCCAGGACTCCTGACACCTTCTGCACCTCTTGCTTGGCCTTTGCAAACCAGGACTGGCTGTAAGCAGACCCGTGGAGAGGCAGGCAGTCACTTCCTTTCCTCCAGCAAGCTGGGCTTCTGCTCACACTTAGCAAGTCCTTTGTCCTCATTCAGTCTGACCTAGATGCTTAGGGGGCTGGGGGGGAGCAAATCCTTGGAGATGGAGCTGTAGCAACAACACCCCCTTGCTGTGCCCCCTCCTCCGCAAAATC